GCTATCCTTCTCTTCCGCGTCACCAACTTTTGGGTCTGGACTTGCACTTGCACTTGCTGTCACCTTTACCTCCACGTCATCGGCTTCCCATTCTTTCCTTTAGAGCTCTTGCAATACCCGTCTTTCCTTCTTTATCGCTCTGCGAACTGTATCTTAGCTCGATTTGCACCACTTAGACGCGCAATGCAAGCCTCTCTTTAGAGACCTCGGACCATGCTTGGTCTTTGCTCGAACGTGATGGCGTGGGAGGGTCGTAATGCGCATGCATGGGCGTCAAAGAGTCTGATTTGGAGAAAAGACTAAGCAAATCGGGCTGACAAGCATGTACGAGAGGAAAGGGTATCTTCAGGGTTCTGCGTCCGTTGATGTCACGAGACTTTTACGCAGCGCAAGTCGATTTGCTCAGTTCGCACGAAGAGATAGGAGGTATACTCTTCTAGTATCTGCTGGAGTACCTGTTCTTCTCACGCCTGCCGTTGCGCGATGATTCTTCCTCAGGATTGCTTTGACTGAAGAAAGGAATTATGCACAGAGAGGTGCGTGAGCTTCGAGAGCTGTTTCGGAGGCAGGCCAGGTCAGGCCCACCGTGACTTACATGATGTACGCTGCGTACACGACACCTACGAAAGCGCAAAGAGAGATCCAAAGGCGGAGCATAAGCGCGTTCGTGCGTGTGCACATGAGAAGACAATCAGAGCGACGCACCTGGGATCCAGAAGAGAAGCCAGAGAATGACACTGATGATCACTTCGGTGTGGCATCCCTTCTTGATGGCTACGGGAATAGGTGGCCTGCAAAGACAGGTCAAGGAAGCACTCATGCGGTCAGCTTGGCCCGAGCGCTCAACGTTGGCGCTATGAACGCGCGCGGCTTGCTCACCAGAAGATGGCGAGGACGTAGAGGATGATGTCGGTAGTGTGAACCATCTTGCTGCGTATATGCGAGGCTTGCTTGGGCTGATTTGGAAAAGAATCAAGGCTGCTTTGGAGATTTGGGATCGTTGCGGGTGGAGAGCGGGTCATAGAACGAGCATCGAAGTCATGAGTGGTCCCTTCTTATACACGCGGTCAGCAAAGATCCTTGTCGCGGGGAGGTAGGGTACTTCGCTGCCCAATTGTGTTCAAATCAGAGTCGTGAGCAGTCGATCGTGGATGAGGCCTCGGAGTTGCGCTCCCCGTGATCCATGTGAACGCATGATTGTGAATCCTGGTTACCTACATGACTCAACGTGTGCCGGCTGCTGATGTGACGCCCAGCTGCTCGCTGCGTGCCGTCTGCTCCCTGCTGTGTCGTGTAGAAGCTCCACACACGAAGCACCGCCGCGTTGAATCATGCAGGAGCCGATTAAGACCACGCGGCGCATTTGGTATTCCCCGTCAGCAGCGCTACAACACCGCTCTGATGGTCCATATCCTCCGCTGCTACAGGAGAACCTACTCTGACCTAACTGTGTACGTCGTACCTGCGCCCACGCTAAAGACGCTCCAAATAGCTGCATATAGCGACCGCGAGGGTGATGATGAACTCCACGAGGTCTGTCTCACAGCCTCGCTCCCACCCACCTGGTCGTCTGGTGGACTCGATAAGCAGTCACCGAGTCGAGATACACAATCACCATCACAAATCTGCGATAGCCTTGCCCGTCGTGAGTCGTGAGTAAAATGGACCCTCCGATCGGGCATCCGATGCTCCCTCCGTCCTGTCAGGTCGGCGTGACGACAGCATCACGCGATGGTCATGCAGTCGAGCAACTGCGAATAGAATTGAATCTTGAATCGTGAATGAAGAATTCAAGATTATTTTCGACGCGCGAATCAGACGCTTCGGCCTACATCCACTCTGAAATCACGACTTGTGACTCTTTCTCAAGTTGAGCCACAAATGATCCGATTCTTCCTTACGCTTCTTGACGCGGACCACCTCTTGCAGGACCATGTTGATGATGCTGCGACTGCATGACATCTCGAGAACGAAGGGGCCATGTCAGGCAGAGTCAATGCCGCGATCGGTTCACTTGAGCCTGGGAAACATTGTCCTGCAGAGACGATGAGCGAGGCTCGATTTGGGACAAGTCGCAACTTCATTTTGTGGTTTCAAAAGTCGCACGCTTGGTGCAATGCCCTTCTGTCCCGCCCATATCAGCATGTGCTAGCACGAGCGGGCACGACACATAATCCCACGACCTTTACTGCCAGCCCTGTTTTTTAGGCCTGGTCGACCATCCTGCTGTGGGTTACCTCGCAGGACAGCTCTTTTGCGTGCCTCGAGTCTGCCACTGGGACGCTGAGCCGCTCGACGGAGTACGGGGACCTCCCTTCATCCGATCCAACTAAACCAAGATGGCTCATCCCATCCGCGATCGCTTCAATGCGAGGCATGGCTTGTAGCATGATCCACACAATAACACTTTGCCTCACTGCCGGAACGTAAATTTGACCGCAGCCCGTCTCGAATGGCTTTTCTCCTCAAGACGAGATGCTGAGTTCCAAGATAGAAGACTTGTCCGCTTCTCGGGCCAGATCTGGTGACTCGCCCAGAATGCTTGCTCGCTCATCACCCCGGAACATCGACCTTTCGCGCATGCGTATTGCACTGAACGGTCAACAGCTCAATGGGGTATGTCTGAGGGCTTGACCTTCGCTCGGCTTATGAGGCATTATGGAGATGTAGGAGACAATGGGGTGATGAAGGGTATCGTGCGGTGCGTTAGGTGTCTCAATGGGAAGAGTCGTCCACAAACGAGCTGGCAGAGATTCGGAGACAGGCTGCTTTGAATCTGCTCCAGATTGGTCTTGAGAATCTGTTCAGTACTCTGGGTATTTGCTGATGAGCCACCAGGCGTGTATGACGCCCGGAATCCAGCCGAGAACCCAAAGGAGGATGTTGATGATCAAGTCAGCACCGCATCCGCGCTTGATGGCGACAGGTACGGGAGGCTGTGAGGATGAGCATGATAGAGACGTTATTAGTAGATGGAGTCAGGCCCGCGTGATCTGGACATCGATGCATGGTCACAATGACGTACCACGAAGAGTGCCAGAAAGTACAGGAGCACATCCGTGGTTGATGAAGGCTGTGCCATCTTGAGGCAACTTGTGTGAAGGGGCGCTTTTGGGTTTCTGCGGAGGTAACGCAGCGTTGGTGAGAGGCGCGAGCGCCAGATTTTGTGAGCGCACCGAGATTCGTGATCTTGACTTACTGGGATGCTTAGGTTTCAATTCGCTGTGTGCATCACAGTGACGAATGTGGAGGTTGTGCGAGCTTGTTAATGAGGAGAGAGAGAGAGAAGAGTCGTGAGTCAAGAAGTTGCGGCAGCGGCATCCATGCATGCTCCGCCATCCAGTCTGCGGTGAGTTTGTCCGGGGCAGGTTTAGGAGCTCAAGGCTTTCTGTCGCGGTGCCGAAGGCTGCTGCATGCCGCGTCCCCGCTCGAAATTCTTGATTATAAGCGCGCGAGGCATTCCACGTGACTTGCAAGGCCGCGATAGATTCACGATTTTGATTCAAAATTTGATTCGATTCTTGAATCCAGACAAGATGAATCGAGAATTTGCATCATCGTAAAAAGAGGCGAGGCAACGATGGGGGTGTAGTTACCACCCATACTTCCGACACGATGGATGCTCAAGCACGCTCATTCACCACTGTCACCATATATGCGTGAATGGGTATAGGCTGACAATCCCCAGGGCGGCTTAGCGCACGGTGTCTGTGCGCCTTTCGACTTAGACAGCAGCCGTAGCGGATAGGGTCGAGTGAGCCACCTCGCTGGGAAAGCGGCACATCGTCTCGTCGAATCAAGATGACGACAGAGACCACGCCGAACGGTGAAAATGTCGAGCGAGGAGCAAAGTTAAAGTTGGCACTTGCTGCGATCGATCAGCTGATAGCTGCGCAGCCTGCGGCAGAGGAGTTAGCCAGCAATTGGCCTGCATTCCAGCCTCTTGCAAGAGCACTCGACAGTGGCAAATTGTGTCCGCTCCACCCACGCGGCATACCGCTGGCCACTGCGGTGAGTCGAGCCTGCTGATTGCCACTCGATGGTGGCAACACCAGCCCTACGCAGACACGCAAGCTTGCCCTACTCTTGCGAATTCATGGTCATTGATATCATCGTCACCACCTCCAGGTGCGGTCGCTCAAAGCCAAATGGCACGGCGATGGAAGCTGGCCTCTGCTAGGAAGTGATGAAGTCTGGACCCCAACTCAGACGGCCGTTGGTATTCCCGGGGCTGATGTCAGCGCTGGCATTGCCATGCCTCCCAGAAGCGTCCATCCTTGCAGGTTGCTCCTCCGACCGATGGGCGTTTTCAGCTTTCAGCCACCACAACAACAAGAAGCTCAGCCGCACAACGAGTTGATCAACCACCAGATATGCAAGCAAGACCCAGATTCGGAAGAAGTGGCAAGACGGTACCGCCTTCGCGGTGTTTACGTCGCAGAGGCAGGCATTCCCCCTGATGCTGATGACTGAGGTGGCAAGTCATCCTGCCTTGACAAGCCTCTATGGAAGCGCTCCTTGACGAGTGTCAAAATATCGCTGCTTACCCAACGGTAGGGTCCGCCACTTAGCGCTCCAGATCGCGAGCCTGAGGTGTCAGCCCTGTGCGGGCGTCGTGCGAGGAGAGCAGCCGAGTCCACGCATTTGCGCCGTCTTCATCGCCGCCCCACAAGGCGTTCCTGCATTGATCAAACTTTAAATGTGACCGACGGAATGAAAGCAATCCTACGCCGCTCGGACCGTAGGCTGGCTCAACGTTGCTCAATACTCGACGCCGGAGCCTGGCCATCACGAAAGTCAGGTGCAAAATTTTGTATAAGACAGCATACAAGAGCCGCTCAGCACCTCCGAAGAGGACATTTCGACTCTCGTTGTTCTGCTGCGCTAAGCTCAACGCTTATGCTGCCCTCCGAGCTGGTCTCGACATCAAGCAGCAGCTGCTTCGTGGGCGAAATCGCTTCCCCTCCTACTTTGGTATCTTGTTTCTGCCAAATTTTCATTGCTGCGTTAAGCTGTGCCGCAACATGGTCACATACTACAAGGGCTTCCCGCAAGGGAAGGGCTTGCAATCAGAAAATTGCTCAAGAGCAAAGAGAACTACACTCGCCTCATACGTCGCCCAAGCATTGCTGCTCTTCATAGGAACGCTCCTTCTCGTCGGCTCCCTCGTCATACTTCAGAGCAATTACGGCCCTTCTGGTACGTCCGACTCTTGTACGGATAGCACGCTTCTGAGCGTGCGATCACGTCTGCGATGCTCCATCACGAACGTGTCGAAGCTCCGTACAAGATATCGTGTGAACCTCAGTCCGTCTTTGGGCTCAATACCGAGAGGCATCACAGACCGTGTCAGCTTAGCCACGCGCGCACTGCCTTTCTGCTGCTCAGGATTCGACCGCAGGACATCGAAGGCGAGCAGCAAGGTTCACGACGAGGCACACTTTGAGCGCGTCGAAGCCGAAGCCCGCCTGAGGCTCGAACGTGAGAATCGTCGACTTGCTGAAATGTACGAGGCGGCGCGCGTGCGCCACCAACAGCCGCGCCACCACCACGGCACGATAAGGTCAGGCGATGACACTGACGGCGAAAGGCCGAGTCTGGCAAAGCTCGCAGAGGACCTGCCTGAGATGTTTGAGGCAGCACCCTTGCGCAAACGATCTGCATGCGCAACGGCCAAGACGTGTGCTGTGCAGAGTGCTCCCGCTAGTGCGAAGCCTACCGGCTCTCTCCCGCTCGGTCCGGACCCAACTGAGCCGATCAGCGCACTCAATCGAAGGACTTTGGCCCAGCTAGCCAGGAATGCAATGAGAAAGCCAAAGCCATACATGGCAACGAGGGATCCCATACTCCGAGTATGGAAACCCCTTTCCAGATTCGGAAGAGGAATGCGGTCGACGGCAAGCAAAGGTGCTCGCAAAGTTGGAGGATGGTTCAAGTCCAATGGTGCCAGGCCGGTGCCAGAGACAGATGGCAGCTTTCGGGGCCAGAGTCCTCCCAAAAGCATCGCGTCTGCACCCTCGCCACACCGCCCGTCAACGACACACCCCTACGACATTGCGAGTATGATGCGCGAGCTGCGTGAAGAAGGGAAGATCGCGCCATCGGGGTACTCGGGTCGCTGGCCGACCCCTGTCTCTCCAGTCGGCCGTCCAACAAAGACTTCGCGGGAGCTATTCAAAGAGAATCCAGTGAGACATGTCATTAAGCGGCAAGTCTCGCTAGACCACACTCAGCTGCGCAGACGCGCCGCCCATTCGTGCGGTGACTGCAACGGAGCTGTCCCGGCCACGGTCATTGCGCAGCATTACTTTCTGAAGCGCCGTGCTCAGCCGCTAGCCAGTACAACTACCTTACAAGACGTTTCCACAAAAGCTTGGCGCGTGCTTTCAGATCCCATCAGCGTCTCTAATAGCGCTCAAAGAATGAGGCAGCTGGGCAGAAGCGAGGAGTCGGCCAAAGCAGCCTGCACGACAGGTTCGTTAGAAGCGGGCAGCCCAAACAAGAAGGGTCTGAGTCGACGCGGCGCGATATTCTCTTGTCTCAATAGACCAGAAATAGCGCAGCAGGCATCAAGACGACCTTCGAGCCCATTGACCTTCCAATCTTCTCTGTACTCTCCGCGGCCCTCCTCTCTCAGGTCATCCGCTACTGACATGCCGGCCATGGCTAGGTCCCGCTCTGAAGGCTCAGTTGCGATGCAAGAGGGAAGGTGGTCCGACGACTCAAAAGAAGCTTTTTACACTCCTCCTACTTCTCTCTCTTCGTCGTCCTCCTCTCGCTCCCCATCGGGCCGATCAAACGGCAAAGCAAGGGCAAAGACAAAGAAAGCCTCGCCTGTGTGGGTAGACAAGAGGATCATCCCGGAGACGCTTAGAAGACAGGCCAGGTGGCGACGCGTGCGCCGGATTGCTAGATCCAACACTCTTCCTTGATACGAAGTCCAATGTCTCTCTCTCTCTCTGAGTTTCGAATTCGAAAAACCATTTAGTGATATGATACGTCTCAGCAAGGAGCGCTTTCGGCCCGAGCTCGCATGGCGGTGCTTTCCGAGCTTGCTGCAATTGGTTTCAGCTCCCGCTCAGAAAGTCGTACGACTCCACACGCTAAAAAAATAGGCAGTATGGCATCAGCACGAGTTCCCGCCCTCAGCCAACCAGCCCGAAACTACAATGGCAGCCAGTCAAGAAACGAAATGCACTGCGTTGGCCAAGCGGATCGATTCTGCAAGGTGCGGCGGAACATCTGCGCTGTGGGGCCTCAATGTCCTTGTGCTGCGGATTGCTTCAAGGCTTCTTTGGTGGTCGTGGAGGTCGCCAAGCCAGGCGGCCTGGCCTCACAAGGTTGGCAGGGGCTTCTGATGAGCCGCCTTTCTTTAGAAATTCAAGATCTCTCGTTCCGTCGGACAATACGTATTCCTTCTGAGCTGTCCAGCCCTTGCTGTTCATATGCGTCGCGAATTGGATGCCCTTTGAGGCTCGGGCCGACGTCGCTGCAGCTGTATGCTACCAACACGGTCGGAAAGACCGGAAATTTCACCAAATTCAGCAAAGCGAATGCAGAATCACGACTCTGGTCAGCTACTCACGAGCTCATGTGGATCCAAGTGATCAAAGTGCTTGTCCTTATAGCTATTACCATCCAGTCGTGTCCAGGCTTTTTTGCCCGTCCGAGCGTCCCACACGTGGACATGCTGGATTCGACCTGTGCTGTCGAAGATTTTCGTCTGTATTTGGTTGCTGGTGTGCGAGGAAGCGCAGAGAAAGCGTTAGGCGGGCATGCCGGCCCCTCCATTCACTGCGCGCACATTGCGCCACGTCTTGCCTCTCTGGTCTTGCGCCTCTGCGCTTGCCACTCCATTCGACGCCCTACGTCAGCTGCGCAATACTCACACCTTCACCTGTGAGCCCTTCTTGCGACCCTTGAACAAGAATGTCAAGGACGCCACTTGTGATTTCGCAAGGAGCAGCGCCAAAATTAAGATGACGCAAATCCTCTTCATCGCCATCCTTCGTCCTCCGCCGACCGATCCTTGCAGCTGCAGAGCTTCACTTGCCGAAGCACGAGGCGCGAGATGCCCGATCACCTTCAAGGTGTTTATCGCCGTCCTGCGCGCCTGAAACACGTTGGGTCTTGCTGGTTGCTGGGTGACGAGAGGAAAGAGGAGAAAGTGTCAGGCTGGAATGGAGACGAAACATGCGTGGCACGACAACCGCCGCGAATATGTGGCGTGATGGCTATATACCAGCATTGCCTCGCCATCGACACGCTCGTCTTGCTCAGTAACACGGCGGCAAGGCGGTCTGCACAAGTGAATGTCGCCAAGGCACGAGCGTTCGCGGTGCATAAGGTGCTGAAAGGCGCTCATCGCTCGATCCCCAGCATCCCGGAGAAAGCCTTGTCGCGCGCGAGACTAACCGCTCTCGAGCACCACAGCACGCCGCTTTCAGCTAAGAAGAAGAAACCATTGTTGTGTCGACTCACTATCAGATCTCAAGTCTGTCGACAAGTATCAGGTGGATGCGTAAATTGGTGAGGGAACATTCGTAGCTCGAGTGGATCGCTAGCTATGTTATCTTCTGCGCAGCATCCACGCTTCTTTGGTCCCGCGCAAAGTCCATACTCGAATCAAACTCACGACAAGACGCCCATGCGCGCGGCTGCGCCCGCAACGAGCAATAACGAACAGCTAGGCTGCTCGTATTGCGATTAGCTCTGCCGCAAGCAATCACAAATATGAGTGAATCATCGAGCACAATGGCGACCGCCGAGGTCGGGGCGAAATAATGAATCAGACACCAGTAGGGCGCGCAACGCGCTCCATCGATCTTCTACATGGACCATACACCGAGGTAAGCTGACTGTTTGATGGTTTGCACAAAGCTCATCTTGCCACCAAGTCTCTGCACACGTCAAAGCAGGACTCACAAGAGCATACGTGCTGCCGTTGAACCTGACGGCGGTGGAGCGCCCTTCCTCCATTCTACCACTACACCCAGACTCTCGCTCTGTCCCGCGCTGGTCGCTCCCAACATTTGTCCAATTCAACGACGCCGGTCGTCTGCAACACCTACCATTTGTGACTCCACTGACATCCTTGCTGACAAAGGTACTGTCGAAGACAGTAGGGCTTGAGACCGCCACTATTCAACCAAGCATTCCCTCGCATCGACAACCTCGTGCAGTCGGCAAACGGCACGAGATGAAAAGGTACCCTGTCATGCTTCTGTGCTCGTTTGCACTTTTTGAGCGTACAGCTGCTGCTAGTCTCGCAGAGTTGTTTCACGCGGAGAAGATGCTTTCACAGGAGCCCAAGGTGATTGCCAGTGAGCCAATGGTGATCGCTCATGAGCCGAAAGTCACCAAGTCTAGGCCCGATGAGGTAAAAGCGTGAGCAACAGCAGTGCCAGAGCAGCAAGCAAAACATGGCTAATGTTCTGTCGCATCGCTGTAATCCGACGACAGGATACAGTACAAGACAACGATCTACAGACCTGGCAGACTTACGCCGGAGGGTGAGCGGATGGCCATACCGTACCATATCCATGAGTACGATGCGAGAACAAGCCGAGGAAAGTGGACGATGCTGAATGGCAATCGAAAGACGGAACCGACTTCCTGGGATCACATCGGTCCTAATCACCTGGTGAGTCCAATCGTCATTGCTAGACAATGTAAGAGCCGCGCACTAACCTCTACTCTGCGACCGGCGCTGACTGCCTCTGGCCGACAGCACACTGGAGATCTAAAGCATCTTGGAAGCTGGAAGCCGGAGGGATTGAAGAATCACAATCCAAAAGTCTCCCTGTTCTACACCCATATGAACAGGCCGGGCTACACGGCCAAGACCGAAGTCCTCTTTTCGAATTTTAAGAGCATGACCAAGACGCTGCCGACAGGCCCAGAGAGGAAAGAACTGAAGAGACAGGCGTACTTGAAGAAATCGGCCGAGGAGAAGAGGCAGGCTGCTAATGCTCGTCGGCCCCCCAAATATCCCGTCAAGCCATAACCACTCTTGCGAAACGTCTGCCGTGTCGAATGTCCGATCCGCCCACTTGGGGTTGCTGGGATGCATCGCCCGAGGTAAATACGATAAAGTGCAATGCAGATGTGCTTGATATTGTACAATACGGTCCGATCCGGCAAGAAAAGAGTCACGGTGCTCAACTTGGCGCCTTGAAGCGATCCGCGTTTCAAAGCGTTGGTTGCAGCTTCGTCATATCGAAAGAGTTTCCCGCGGGCTGGTTGAGCCAGCTTTGCCAGTCAAAATCGTGATCGGCATCGCCCAGCAGAGAGACGAGCCAGTCCACCTGATCCTGATCGGGTTCTTGACTTGAAGACATGCCTACATTGGGCGTCTGTCCCGAAGGAAATTCTCCTGGTGCGTCCGTGATGTCAGCAAGCTGCGTGCTGTCCGTCGCAGCCCTGGTGTACTGTGCGCTGCGATCGTACATGATGATATCCGACCTTCGACAGATCTCCTTGATGAATTCCGGATCAGGTTCGTGAGGTTGCATTCCCAACACCGCTCGTCTCGCCTTCCAAGCGCCGAGTATGAGGGGGTCGAACAGCTGACCCCAGCGTCTGGCGCGAATGAAGGTGCTCGTGGCGGGAACGATCCGTTTAAAAGCACTGGAGTTCTCAGACACGCATATCCAGCCGCGATCAGCCAGCGGTCCGACTAGAATCACGCGAAGAAGTCGGATGAGATGCACAAGGAGGACAAAAGGCATGTGAGAGAGGGTCCACCATGAGAACCCTTCGAAGCGTTTTGCGTTGCGCAAGGTGTTTGCTTGGTCTAGACCGTCGCAGCATATTGCGGTCAGCTCCTCCCGAACTCGGGCGACTTGATCCTTTGTATTTGGGTCGCGCGTCTCGATGAATTTGCGTTCAAGGGCCATCTCCTCGCACAGGTAGCTCGTCATCTTCATCCGACAAACGATGTGGCCTGTCCAAAGCGTGGCGAAGGCGTGCTGGGGAATCGCTTCATTACAGTGTCTGAGCCATCTGTCCTGCACCTTTTCCGTCCAATCGGCAATGATCTTCAATTTGGTCATGAAGGGTATACGTGCCGAGCTGAATTCCGTGTAGCCAGATCTGGGCCCTTGACGCTCTCGAACGTCAGCTCGCAGACGAACCCATTCGGCGCGGATCATACAGAACAGCATCTCTGACGATGGTGTCGCAACGCTGTTCGCGGTCGGGAGATTCGAAGCAGCAGCGAGATCCGCATCGCTCAGAGGCGCCGGAAGATCAAGGTAGGCTTGGCCCCAAAGCTCACCCGTTCCCATGCCTTGAGCCAGGGGAAAGCCTGCGGCGTTAGATCGCTGGGCTCATTGGGCTGTCGTAGCACCACTACTCACTACTCTTCTCTGACGCTCTTAGATCCAATGAGCTGAGCTCGTACCACAGCCGTTTTGACAACTCAACTTCCACGATGGTTTCTGGTTGCACCTTGAACGTGGTTGTCAGGCGCGCTTGAGGTGGCTTGATAGATATGGGTCGATGAATCCGCAGGCGCTGGGAAAGTCGGACAGCCATGCCTACGAAGCATAGATATGAGCGCGGATCAGTGGATGCAGAGATGTTCGTCAGGTGAATGATGAGCGCTTGTAGCACGGTGAGATCGCTCGTACGCCACAATTCTGCCTTGCTCAACCAGAGGACTGCAGCTTGTTGACATCGCTCCAAAAGCGAGTCTCGGTCGTAGCCCAGTAGCTCTTGGCACTCTGATGGCCTCAGTGAGTTGATTGCGCACGAGTAGATTGCGAAAAAGAGCGCTTGATGAGACGCCGGGGCGTCGCCCATGTTTGAGCCGAGATCGGCCATTTTGCGTTGAACGGCGGGTGCGTGCACGAGCTTGACGATTGGATGTACATTGTCTAGGTATATCTGCCACAGCTTGAGCATCACGAAAGGGTCCGGATGATGCAAATCGCCAAAGACTGGCTTAGGAGCTTGACAAGCTTCGCACTTTTTGCCAAAGAAGAGGTGGGAAGAATCATTGGTGAAGATGCCATCCAAGTGACGAAGCAAAGCTTGAGGTCTGCGACGACCAGATTCGTCAATCTCCAATAAACCTTGAATTTGATCAAATTCTTGCTCTGGATCAGTCTCTGCATATTCGCCGGACTCGGAGGGGGGCTCGGTCAGGGAAAGGTTGTGCGCCTCGCCCGGAACAGGCTCTGCGCTAGTACCATCGCTAGCTCCAGGTGTTGCCGTACCGTCGCGGATGGCATCCACATCGGCGCCGTAGGCGTGCAAAGCAGCTTCGTAGCTAAGCGTACAATATCAAAAGGCTTTTGATCAGTCTGCACAATCAATCGCCTTGTCTTGCCATATGCACGCATCGCTCACCGCTTGATCCTGAGCAGCAGCTCGGCTTCTGGAAACCGACGTTTTCGAGGTCTGTCGGAAGTTTCGACGACCGAAGGAACGCATTCCATCTTTCTCTGGGTGCAATACCCGCAGGGATTACCGCGGTCACATTTGACTTTGCGTCTGTAGCATAGATCGCAAGAGAAGCCTCCTTGAAATTGGGTAGCGCTGCGTCCTGTGGACATGGACGTAGTGGCATGGGAAGACAGTGATCTCCTTGTCCGATTTGAGTCCACATCGGGCTGTGCGTGAGCGGTAGCCACTGAAGCATTCCTTCCGTTGCGGTCGGGCGGCATCTTGACCAAGACAACAAATCTTTTGTGCACCGTGTCTGCAGCCTTGAAGAGCCAGCCCTGCGATTGCTTCACAGCGTGGTGGTGGTAGGAAGTAAAGGCATGAGAACGAGACCGCGCGTTTGACTGCTAATGATCCCGTGTCACAACTCCTCACTGCTACTCACAACTGGGTCAAGCGAATGAAATCCCCTCCGCGCTACCACTCACGAGTGGTCACGAATCCACGAGCTCTGCTGAAGCGCTTCGTCTGCATGCAAGGTACGGCACGCTAACGAGCGAGTTGCGGCGCTGCGCTGCGCCGCACCTCACGCGTGCTGCAGCTGTGTACCGATACAGTACTAGACTCTGACTCAAGCCGGCGGCAAAGCACACCGTTGTGACTCTTGACTCTTGGCTCGATCGTGACTTTCCCGGCAGCACGTAGCATGCAGTCTTGAGTCAAGCGTGTTGGGTCGCGAGTCGCGAGTTCGGCGTGGGCGCCGCGATAGCGGGCAGCATGCAACACATTCACTTGATTCATATTTCATAAGGTCATCTGGACACGACACACCCGCCAGGCGACGAGGGTTGAGAGCAAAGCTAAGCGATTGAAGCGATTCATGAGCACATGGTACGACAAGCTAGTATGCAAGCAAGACCATGCAGACGAGATAGGAGAGCATCTCCCCCACGTACGTCAGGTACGACTGACTCATCCTCATTGGGATTCTGAATGAGCTCTGCATGGGTCGGATCGGACAATCTAGCCCACACGTGACGGTTGGTAGGCTTCTCGGCCCGTCGAGTATCGGCGCGGACTATTGCGCGTCCGTTCTGTATTCCTGCATCGAAATCGGGCGACCATGACCAAGCACCCTATCGCCTCAGTTACATCCACAACTCATGACCCGCTCCGGGCCATGAGCTTGCCCGATGTCAGCATACAACAGTCACATCACGTATGTTCCCTCCCCTTCCGTGTTAGACGATTCCTTGAAATGCATCAGATTGCGTGCGTGTTGATGCAGCATGCTCGAAACATATATAAAGGGGCCAGAGATGGGCTTGACATTGCTGGGTCTCGATACAAGCTTCTCATCCACTGTCAATGTGAGCACCACTGCTCCGCTCCACTACACTGCACCGCGCACTCCGTTTGACAAACCCTGACTCACAATGTCTGGCAGCACTCAACCCACTGCTGGTCCTTCGGACCGTCGCGAGTCCGTCCAGACTTCCGGTCACATCAGTACCGCAACGACTACAGCTGGCGAGCAGGATGCACAGAGCGGCAAGGCTGGAGAGAAACCATCCAGCACTGGCGAGCTACCACTGCTCCGCACTCTACCTATCCTTTGTCTGCTCATCCTCAGTCTCTTCCTCGTCTCGTTGGACCGCACCATCATCGGCGTGGCCATCCCACGTCTAACGGATGACTTTCATTCTCCCAACGACATCGGATGGTACGGCTCAGCATACATGCTGACCAATGCCAGCTTGCAGCTCATCTTTGGTCGTCTTTGCAAACATAATTCCGTCAAGCCAATCTTCTTGTCCGCCATGTTCATCTTTGCGGTCGGATCAGCTGTATGCGGAGCTACGCCCAACTCGGTAGGCTTGATCCTTGGTCGTGCTATCGCAGGTGCTGGTGCGTCTGGCATTCTGCAAAGCGCCTTGCAGATCATCTTGCACATTGTCCCGCTGCACAAACGTCCGATGATCATGGCCATGTTTGGCGTCGTCATTGGTGAGTGGGTTGCTCGTAATCGCTGTGAGACTGAATGTTGACGAGCCTGTCTTTGCCTATCAAAGGTGTCTCGAGTGCTCTCGGACCACTCATTGGGGGAGCTTTCACCCAAAAAGTCTCTTGGCGCTGGTGCTTCTACATCAACGTGCCCTGCGCGGCCCTTGCCATACTCATCGTTGCGCTTCTCCTTCGGCCAGAAGATGTCGACGATGAAAAGCGTCAAAAGCTGAAGTTTCTTGAGCAGATCAAGCAGCTCGATCCTCTCGGTTTCATCCTCATCGTCCCAGCCACCGTCGCTCTGCTTCTCGCCTTGCAGTTCGGAGGATTCGCCTACGCGTGGAGCAACGCCAGAGTCATTGCCCTGCTAGTCATCTTTGGCGTCTTCTTCTTAGCCTTCCTTGCTTCGCAATGGTACGCTGGAGACAGAGCTCTCATTCCGCCTCGCGTCTTCCTCCAACGAACCGTGTACGGTTCTCTGTGGTACACCTTTTGCTTGGCGGGTTCCATGAACGTCGCCATCTATTACATTCCCATTTGGTGAGTTCATCGTTCCGACTGAGCGCTCTCGAAATAGACGGAAAGCTGACGCCGCTCTTTCACTCTTCCAAAGGTTTCAGGCTGTGAAGCAGTCGGAAGCGCTCCACTCCTCATACCAAACCCTGCCAGTAATCATGAGTCTCGTTGTCGCCTCGATTTTGTCAGGAGCCGCTGCTCGACGGACCGGTCATTTTGGACCTCAATTGGTCGCGGCACCCGTCCTGGCATCTGTGGGAATGGGTCTCATCAGCCTGTGGACGACAAATACAGCTCATCCCGAATGGATCGGCTTCCAAGTTCTTTACGGCTTTGGCATTGGCTTGGGAATGCAAAGTGAGCATATACTCAGCATCCGCATGCCGACGAAGGTACATCTCAGTGAGCTGATCAAGTTGATTGCCTCCGTGTTCTCAGGCCCATCACTCGCTTTGCAATCGAATGTTGAGCCTCAAGACTTGCCTTTGGCTCTAGCTTCCAACTTCTTCAGCCAGCAAATGGGGGGTGCCATCTTCGTGTCAGTCGCACAAAATTTGCTGGCCAACAAGCTAAAGAGCACACTGGCGGGGCTGGAAGGCTTGAACACTAGCGTGCTCGCCAACACCGGCGTGACCGAGCTAGCAAAGATGGTACCTGCGTCTCTACTACCTACCGTCATCAATGCGTACAACGTCGCGCTGCGAGACGTGTGGTACGCGGGCTTGGGCACAGCATGCGCCATCGTTCTTGCGCTTCCCTTCATCAAGTGGCAGAACCTGAAAAAGGTCAGCGAGCAACAACGCCTGGCTCAGGATTCTGCCAAGCAAGATGCCGAAAAGACGCAAGAGGCTTGACCTTGTTGTCGTTGCCCACGAAACCTTTACGATAAATGTCCTCGAACCTCACCACTCTGAATTCATTACGAGCGCCATGTGCTTAATTGTAGTACAGTAACAGCTCTTGAAGTATCTTTGGTCGCCTCCGTACCTTGGTTGTGATCAGATGAAAAGTGGACAGTCCTGCCAAGCGTGGCAGTGACGTTGACCCCCTCCCCGGTGCTTGGCGCTTCACGACCCTGCGCGAAGAAGCGTGCCAAGAGAAGTGCGGGGACGTCTTTAAAAGTCAGACGCGCTGGGCAGCTTCGGACGTTGTATACGAGAAAATCACGTAAAGACAGTCAGCATTGTGAAGATCAAGTCTTGAGTATTGTGTACCGATGCGTCGTACGGGACAAATTTAGCGAGTGGTCTTGATTGAGTCGATTGAGTCTCGAGACCGGCAATCGTGGATGGATTGGTACGTTTCGGCATATCTTGACTTTTGTCGTAGAGGCTGCGCTGCGCTGCGCTGCAGTGCGAGCGTGGCTGCAGGATGAGCTGACCAGTCGTGATGGAGCTGCAAAGAGGAAGTGTAGCTGGTCTCTCATGTATCGGAGCAGCGCGGAAGGCCGTTGCTAGCTCATGCAGACGCGGAGTACACTTGATTGTCGAGTACGTGAGAGAAAGCGCGTGAAGCATGTCTGAAGCTAGGCCTTCAAGTCTGATGAGTGTCTCGCGCATCGGAAATCTCTGTGCAATCTCTGTTGCACACGCTTGCTTGCCTGCCTGCTTGCTCGCCTCTGGCTGGAAAGGTTGGCCGCTTACTGATGGACTCGCTGCTGCAGCTGCATGAGCTGCTGCAGGAGAGATCTTCATTGAGGCCGGCCAGGCCCATCTGTGATTCTGTTGTGAATCTGAGACGCGCCTGCGTTCATGATTCGTGATCGGAGCAGGTCCAGAGCACTCACACTGCATGGAGACTCTGCATGGCCATTTACCGCATGCGCTCTCCTGCCTCCTTTTCTTTTTCGCCCCCTTTTTCTCCGCGAGATGCCAAGGTGTGGGATGCGAAGATAGGGACTTCGCAAAGGCGGTGTCGCCATGCCGAGCTCTAGGGTGTGGCAGTGAGAAAGATGATGATGCCGCGTGATCAAATGCGCCCTCAAGAGAAGTTAGCTTGCTGGGACTCTCAGCCAGCTAGCTAGCTCGCCAGCTGAAATGAAGTGTGAGTGGCAGAAGGTGAGCGGAAGAGATATTTTTCGCCTTTCCCTTCGTCATTCGCGTATCTGCAGTGTCCAGGCGCGTGGGCCAGATGCAGCCATGCAATTAAGCTGCCACAGGTGCTTGATGTGCCGTGCTGTGCATACGCGCGCGTACGTTTGTGGCTTGCGCTTTTCATAGCCGTCATAGTCACGGCCATATAGCGAGATGAACTGCAGCCCATGCAGCAGAGACTCACAAACTTAATGGTGCGCCCTCCTCGCGCACGCGGTCGAGAGCACAGCCATGGAGTTCCGCGCTAGATGCTGCATATGGCACCGTACGCGCGCGTGCGCGTGCGCGTGCTTCATGAGGCCTGCCAACGGCTCGTACGCGGCATCTGCTTCCGCACCTCCGTTGACTTCACGGAGCCAGATAGTCCGGAGGCTGATCTTTTCTTGCCCCACCTCACCTCAAAGGCTACCTCTCTACCGTGGGCTTTCGTCATGGAGCCTTGGTGCGAGAGAGGAAGACAAAGGCGCCAGGAAGGAGAAAGCGTCTGGGAGGGTATATATGTCGGACTTGATGCGCTCACATCCCGTGGTCTGTCATGTCGACCCATCCAAACAAACTATTCCCCGCTCAAAGATTCAATCGCTGGCAGCATCACTCGTGACCGTTCCTCTGACCGGGTTCAGCGCAAACATACCGCATCTCGACTGAACAGAAGTTACGCTTGACTCTCAACTGCACAAGCATCGCTTCACTCACACTTCACATTCACTCCATCTCTACAAGATGCAGTTCGCAACAGGTTCTACGGACTCTTTGCCAATCTATGCGGTCATCTGTCCCGCCAACTCTGTCCAGATGGGCAAGAGCGCGACGACCAGTGCGCTCGCCTCCAAATTGAGCGACTTGCCCTCCGCTAACATTTGCGGGGACGATGCGAAGCTCAACATCGACGCAAGAAGATTCCAGCGTCGCTCAATGCCTCACTCTAGGTCCATGGTCCGTCGAAGCACGGACAAGAGATGCAGCGCCGTCTCTTTCGAATCCCGATACGGTGTTCCTCTGGATGCACAAACGCGTAGGGATATCTTTGGTGAAGAACAATCCAGGCTGATGCTGGGCTTGACGGAAGAGGCACAAACGAGACAACAATGGCACATCACTTTGCTTCCGGATGACGAGAGCCCGGAAGCCTCTCGGTCGAGCACCGAGACCGAAGCGGAAAGGGCTTCGGAGGCTGAAAGCGCCGGACACGCAGCACGTGCACGTGCACGTGCACGTGCACACGCTCCAGCACCAGCAACGGCAGTACCATGCGACTTCACCCGCACCAAGGCATCTTCACAGCCGAGCAAGCCAACAGGATCAGAGCTGCAAAGCGTCGCAACTGGTTCCAGTCCCTCGTCGCCGCGCTTGAACCCACGAAGTCTCAACCTCCAAACAGCTCTAGTCTTGCCCGCATTGACCACGGTCACTTGCCCAACCACACCTCGCCTATCCGCACGGATGTTGCTCAAGACTTCCATCGGCGCAGAGCTGGAGAACATCGGCCTCAAGCGCTTGTTCAGTCGCTAGTCCGCCACTCGCTGCTAGGCAATCGCGAGCCCCTTCGCGGGCGGAAGAGCCTCACAAGGAGTCGCGATGCACCCTTAACGGCTGCTCCGCGCCTGCTTCGCCCGCATCCGTTCGCCTCTGCTGCGCCGGCCCTGATCTCGTTGAAACTCCCATCATCTTTACATACCCCTTTTCGCGTCTCGATTGTCTGTACAATAATCCTCGTCGCAATCCCGCTTTTTCCAGACACACTTTTCTTGATGTGCACATCGGATGACTGCGCCGGCGATGATGATGAAGCGTTTGTTGAGCGGACACGATCTCATCTGAATGTAAATGTCACATGCGCACAAGACGGCCTCAATATAGTTTCCGCATTGCATTGGCCGAGCTGTCCACCCTAGAATTCGATGAGACTCGGCTCCATCTGTCTATGTGCCGGCGATCTCCAAGGTTCCTGATCGACGTGTGCCGTTGGCGCCGTTGGCAACCTAGGTTTGTCAACGGGGGGAGCCGTTGGGGCGATGGGGATATCTCTCCATCCATTGAAAGCGTTCTCGCTCACTGCCTCGAAATCCGTCTCGGGTGCACTTGCGTGCGGGAACGCTGCAGGCCTAGACTGTCCGGAATAAGGTGTCGACGGGACGGGAGCGGCGCTAGACACGATTGGCGGTGCATTTTCCACTGACTGAACATCATCTCTTGAACGAGCAAAACCAGGCAGCTGACCATCAGGCTGGGGCGTAGTACCCAACACAGGTTCTTGACGCGGAGGCACCTGCCTCGACGTCAAATCCTTGCCAGTGGCATCTTCGATAGACACAGGTGTCAAGCCGCTCTCATTGAGCGCTAAAGGCGCAGAGGAGACCGTCAGAGCGCTCTGCGGTCCGGCTGCCGACTGCGCCCATCCAGAGGGGGAGTGCACTGCTTCCCCACGAGCAGAATCGACCGTAGGCAGCGAGCTCACGCTCGGCAAATTCTGCAACGAGTGCCAGGGTGCTTCGTACTGCTGTTGGTGTGGACTGCTGATGGTTTGCTGTTGCTGCTGCGGATCGAACTGCGGATGATGCGTGAACGTCTCTGCATATGACGCATGTTGAGCGTGGTTCGGTTCAGGACTGAAGGTTTGATTGGCATAATGGGCCGGTTCTTGTCGCTTCGCTCCCTGTGGCGTTGCAGATTGGGGAGCCGCAAATGAGGGCATGGGCGATGCGTAGCTCTGTGATTGAGGCTGCGGGGCGCCATGCGCCTGGTGAGGTGGAGCAGAAGGGGACGCTACCTCTTTGGCATCGACTGGATGATGCTGTGAATAAGGCGCCTGATACTGCTGAGGAGCTCGATGCTGGGCGTCTGGGTGCTGACCATGCTGCTGTGGCTGTTGCCAGGGCTGCAAGCCCTGCATACCGTGCGACATAGCATGCTGTGAAGGATCGATATACGCATGTGCTTGAGGCTGTTGCGAGAGGTTGGGGTACAGGGAAGAGCTCGGAGTAGGTACGGCAGAATATCCCGCAGCAGAGGAAGGTTCGGCATGACGCTCCTGTGATGAGTGGTGATGGAAGCCCCAGTGCTGCGTCTGCTGAGCGTGCTGAGGATGCTGCTGAGCAGCGTAGGCGTACGCGTGTCCGTTGTGCTGCGGCGCATAGCTCGCTGCTGGCCTTGAGAGTTGTGAGTCGAGAATGCGGTTGTAGAGATGCACAGCTTCCCCAAGTTTATCATGCATCGAAGTCAATACTGCCAGTCTCCTGTTTCCCTCTTCCAGGTTTCGTGCTAGCCGGGGTCTCGCAGCTGTCGCTTTGTCATACGCCGCGTATACTTGCTGCTGTTCAATGCCTGGCTGAGATGCCGAGAACATGCCAGTCTGTGCAGCTTGAGCTTCTTGCACCCGGATGCCCTGAGAGAAGCTCAGTAGCGCGTCAATATCGGGGTTTGCCAGTTCCAAAGAAGGCGGCAAAGGCAAGCGAGACGCGGTGCCGGTCTGATGTACTTGACGGCTTCGAGGAGTAAGACTGCCAGCATCTGCTGGCGAGAAGTCCGTGGGAGCGCTGGGTGCTGGTGGGGCAAAGTCGCGCAGGCTGGCAGCGATAGCAGCTGCCAAGTCCGGGTCATCATCTGCATCTGTCCCTTCTAGCATGCGTCCGTCGGGTTGACGAGTTGCTCGACTGGTTGGCGGTGAAGAAGGCACGTAGCCGCTGGACGTGGCACCGCTCGCGCTGGATCCGGAGCTCTCTAGCGAGAGCCTTATCGCCAGAGCCAGATCGTCTTCCTCTCGTTGCCTGCGCTGACCTGAGCCTGCGCTGCGTGGCTGCCCGGACTTGCTACCCAAGGTTGCCGATCTGTGATGAGAGCCCGCCCCTCCTCTACCCGAGGGCGTGATCTGAGCAGCGTCGGAGCGAGATCGCGCCAAGCTGGTGCTACCTGAAGAAGTGGAGCTGATGGCCGATTTCTTGGGTGGCGCTCTCTTGGCGTAGCAACCATCGCACACTCTGACATCCTGACCTACTCCGAACCAAGGCAGAGCCATCGTGTGTCCGCTGCACTGCGCATCAAAGACGTTGCCGCAGTTCCTGCAATGATGCTTCCTGTTGAAGGTCGTGAAGGCTGTTCGGCAACGCATACATACGTCCCCATCAATCCATTCAGGGGCAGTCATAGTCTCTACCAGCGCAGCGCTGACCACAGCAGCTGGGTCTCTGGGTGGGAACTCGAAGCCCGCTTCTTGGAGAGATCGGTACGTTTGCGTGATGTAGCCCATGGAGGAAGATGCAGATGCGGGTCGGGCCTCGGCGATTTGAGACCAGTTTTGAATCAATCCTAGCGACTTGGACTTGAGATCCACGTTGACGCCTGCTGGATCCCGCAAGATGGACACGAGATTGTCCATAAATTCTCGAGAAGCCACCTCTGTGAGGAAATGGTCGCCACCATTCTTGATGCACACGTCAGTGAGCTGCGGATGTCGAGACACGAGTAAGGTTACATCCGAGCGTCAAGCAGGCAAAGCATGGTGAGCCACAATGCATCTTCGCGATTAGTGAGCGATTTCAACGTACTCACACCTAGGGCAAGCATGGCCACGTTGGGGTTCTTGTGACCCAATCTGCGCTTGATGACCTGCATCGCATGCTTAGGTTGAACCTGTTTGGCTCTGACCTGATCGCATATCTCGAGGTTGAGAGAGATGTCCTCTTGACCTGCTGGTAGCAGTTCAGACGTAGCTTTGTCCACGAGCTCTGCAAAGGGATCTGAGCCCCACAAAATGCCCGCCATGGTGGCGCGAGTGGGTTGCTGGGCTGGATGGCTAGATGTGGGCTGTAGCGGAAGCTCGCACAGACTAGAGATGGGTTTGCAGCGCGATTGTGGCAATCAGTGGATCCGCCTTCGGAGAGCTTCGAACGTCGTACGCTGATTGGTGAGCAGGAAGGTGCCTGCTGCTGCGAGTTGAATGATGGTGATGCGGTGGATGGTCGAGGGCGAAACGCTGCGCTGCCTTGTAGCACGACAGCAGGGCTGGCTAGCTGCAAGGTATCGATACATGTCGGTGGAGCCGTGTACTGTACAGCATATATACTCGTACTGTACAACATATATACTCGCACCGCCCGGTGGTGCAGCTGCAGCACGCGGCTGCTGCGCGACACCAACGTCGCCCGCACACCACTCACTTCGCGCATCCGCGCGCGGTGCTGAGCCAACGGCCCACAGCTATAGGCAAGCTGCTTGTGCCCTTCGCTCAGCGCGGAGTGAAGGACACGTGACACTTCGGCGGACGGTGGAGGATGGCCCCAGCTAGACCTTGGATGGCAGTCCAGAGGGGTGCATCAGAAGCTTGAACCCGATGTGTGGGATGATCCAGCCTAGGCCTCGCGACACTACTTTCACACTCTTGACTCTCGATTACTCTCTCACATCATCCTTGACTTCATTGCTAATCCTGCACACCAGCAGTAGCCCAGCACATACCTTTCTTTGGCACAGAGCGGGTTGCGCAAGCTGCACCGAAGGATAGCGCCAACCGTCTGCTCACCTGTGCACGGCTGCTTTCAGCCTTCCCAGACCTAGCTTGCTTGCGCCTCATCTCTTTGCGGATCGAGGTCTTGTCGCGCTCTACTGCACTGCTGAGTCATCAGTATCTCAGTGTGTCCGCTCAGCACTTCTCGCATCAATCTCTGACTGTGCTCGCCAAGACGCTCGCGATCCAACGCACGCGGCCAACGCAGCAAGCCGCGTATCCCGCCGCACCTCTGCCCGTTGCTCGAGATGGAGCCCTTACCGCTGCCCACGACCTCTTCACGTCGTCGTGACCGCGTCACTTATATCCACGACGAGGATGTTGGCAACTACTCTTACGGCTACGGACATCCAATGAAGCCTCATCGGATGAGGATGACCCATAACCTGGTCTCCAACTATGGATTGCACAGGTATATGCACCTCGTTAGACCCAGAAGAGCTACGAGGGAACAGATGACTGCTTTTCATACGGATGAATATGTAGATTTCTTGCAGAGAGTCACTCCTGAAACGGTGGCCGAGCTGACTGGGGATGGGACCAGATGTGAGTGCATGCCGCTGACAGTGGGCGCATGGCGCTCGCCTTGTGGCAGCTGGCCGCACGCGAAGCAGAAATCGAGTCCGAGTCATTTGCACTCCACCAATTTCGAGAGCTGCCTTCAGGTCTTGTGCGCGACTAGGCACCCAGGGCTGACCGTCCCAAATTACCTTCGAATGTAACAGTCTTGATAGGCGAAGACTGCCCAGCCTTTGGAGGTCTATTTGAATTTTGCAGCATATCTGCCGGCGGCTCACTGTCTGCAGCACACGCCATCAACGATGGCACAGCAGACGTAGCCATCAATTGGGCCGGAGGACTGCATCACGCCAAGAAGAGAGAGGCTAGCGGGTTCTGCTACGTGAATGATATCGTGCTGGCCATACTCGAGCTGCTGAGGTGAGCTCGCACGAAAATTGGGTTTGAGACGGCTCTGACGAATGCGACACACTCCCTGAACCGCGCATAGAACGCACCTGCGAGTGCTGTACATCGACATCGACATCCACCACGGTGATGGCGTTGAGGAAGCATTCTACACCACAGACAGAGTCATGACTGTCAGTTTTCATAAGTTTGGAGATTTCTTTCCAGGAACTGGGGATGTGAGGGACATTGGCATCAAGAAAGGCAAAGGGTACGCTGTGAACGTGCCCCTCAAGGATGGAGTGGGAGACGTGGAGTTTGGCGGCATTTTCAGACCTGTGAGTACGCATTTGGGCATGCTGGGTCCTGCTGAATCGGGCTGTATCGCAGCTGACCGACTGTATGCCGCTCCTTGATCGCGCAGGTGCTGCAACACATCATGGACTGGTACCGACCTGGAGCTGTGGTGCTCCAATGCGGTGCTGACAGTCTCGCAGGAGATAAGCTGGGCTGTTTCAACTTGAGCATGCGAGGTGAGTGTTGGTGACATGCCGAATCGCAGGTCTAGTCGTGCTGACTCGTCTTTGACCTTTGGAAGGACACGCGGAGTGTGTGCGTTTCATGCAGTCATTTGGAGTGCCTCTGATCTGTCTGGGTGGCGGAGGTTACACGGTGCGGAATGTTGCGCGGACGTGGACGTACGAAACAGGCTTGATGCTGGGAAAAGAGCTGCCCGAGGATCTGCCCTTCAACGAGTACATTCAGTATTTTGGACCAGAGTACAAGCTGGACGTACCTCCCACCAGCATGGATAATCAGAATACCAGAGAATACTTGGAGGGACTCGTCAAGAAGATTGTAGAGAATCTGAGGTGTCTCAACCCAGCACCTAGCGTAGGCATGCATGAGACTCCTGCTCATTCCATCAACCCTGCGGACATGGATCTGGAGGATGATGACGAGTCCGACCTGGACCAAAGGATCACACGTGAGTCGGATTGGTGACGAGGACATACGCAGGCGATGCAGCTGAAGTTCTTTCTCGACCATCACAGAACGCCTACGAGATGCACACGTTGAGCGATTTGGGGATGAACTATCGGGTGACGAAGGATCGTCATCTGACGAAGGTGGGCGAGGATCTGAGATGGGGGCAGAGGGCCACGACGTAGCAGGTCAGGTACCATTCCGAGCGGGCTACGCATCAAAGGCGCGATCCATCGCCTCCACCCCCAACGGATCCAGGCGAGGCTCGACGATGAAGCGGGGCAATAGCAATGCAAGCTTGCTCGGTGCTGGAACGCACGATTTGGCAGCTAGGTTTGGCAATCCTACGTATGCGCTGGAAGCGGCTGCGAATGGGCGGAGGAGCAGCGTACAATTCTCTGGCCTCTTGGGCGGTCCTGCTCGAGACGATGTACTAGGCATGGGCTTCGGCACGCAAAGTCGATCGGGTCGCAAATCAGGCAAGAGGAACTTTTTCAGCTCTCGAGCCAAGGTGGAGCCCAAGTCGTCGGGTGGCAAGGCTTCCGGCTCCTTGGCGCAAGATGAAAATGGAAGGCACGAGCAGGGTGTGCAGATGATTCAAGGCAAGAGCTCGAGTGGTGTTTCAAGGAGGAAACCGGCAATGCCGGTCTTGGGTATCGGACGCTCGGCCGCCGTTGCTGTGGACAACGACGCGTCGGAAGTTGCCGACACGCCCCTGGCATCTCCTTTACCGTTGCACGGCGCTACTAGCATCGCAGCTTGATCGCACATGATGCCTCGTAAGCCTGATGGAGGAGCAGGATCAGCTTTGTTCGTTGCACGCGTCGCCCCGTCTGTTCTTGCACCCCCTCCTCCCTCTCCCTTCTCAATTGTGCTTGTTCTCTCTTTGTAACAACACCAACCACCCTGCTCTGCAAGTCACCTTCACATCATCCTTTTGCGCATGGCTCTTGGAGAAGCTCAAGATTCAAGGGGAAGATGGCCGATGTGCATCTCATTGCTTTTGTTTTGTGCAGACGGCAAAGCTGCTGACGACTGATTGAGTCATCTAGCGAAGCGCTGGGACAAGCTGTCAAGGTTCAATCTCTAAAGAGTGGAGACGGCGCAGAGAGAGCAGCAATGAGCATGACGACCCTTCGCTCGGGGGATGGAAGGGCGGCGGTGAAGATGCAGCGTCAGACAACTAGGAGCACTCACCGCCCAGCAGCAGTTGCTGATCGAAGCTGGCCGATACAATGATTGGCTCTTTCGGATGAAAGTCGACCGCTGTGCAAGTGCCTCTGTGACCCGGCAACTGTGCGATAGGGTAGGGTAAAGGCCAATCTCGGCATGAGCAGCGGCCACAACAAAGCGACGGAACAGATGTCTTGCTCTTGTAGCTTTCTAAACTATGCAGGGCAATTTTTCACGCATTTCCCCCCCCCC